AGTTAGTGATCTCACCACACTCCACCAGCCCTGCCTCTCGTACTCACACCTTCTACCTTATAACACGTATGAGTTAGTGATCTCACCACACTCCAGCCCTGCCTCCTGTACTCACACATTCTACCTTATAACACGTATGAGTTAGTGATCTCACCACACTCCACCAGCCCTGCCTCCTGTACTCACACCTTCTACCTTTAACACGTATGAGTTAGTGATCTGTCTGCTGTCCCCACTAAGTTTTAGGCTACTCAAGGGCAGGGACCACAGCTGATTGGTTCCTTCTGCCTCCCACAGGGTCTATAAAACAGCAGAAGCCCACATATAGGATGAAGGAACACTGGAGTCTCTAAAAACACCTGGGATGCTTTAAAAACAAACAAACAAACAGAATGATAGGCTGACCCCCAGAAATCTACAATTTGTCTGGACCATAACGCATCCGTATTTCAGAGCACCCCAAAGGATTCAACTGAGCAACTAAGGCTGACAACCATAGAAGGTTTTGACTCCCCATTTTCTAAAGAAGGCTCAGAAGGTAAGGCAGCTGTCCAAAGTGATAAAACCAATAGGGTGAACAGTCAGGCACATCTAGGTGCCTAACTAACATGGCTGGGCATATGGTTCCGACCCTGAGGTTTCTGAGGCTGTAAATCTTTACGGGAGCAGAAAGCCTCATCTTTTTCCCGTGGAGCAGCTGGTAGTTTTGAACTGCTGACCTTGCGGTTCGCAGCCCAATTTGTAACCACTACGCTACCAGAGCTGGGGAACAATGAATAATGAAGATACAAGCCAACTATCTCATTTTCCATATGTGGAGACTGTTGCTGGCCAAGGCCACTCAACAAAAGCCAATGGAAATATGGAGATCTGAAGTTTTGAAGCCTGGCATACAGTAGGCACTCAATAAATGCTTGTTGAGTGACCCAAGGTTACAGTGAACCCGGATAAGCCCACCTGTGTAACTGGGACAATAGTCCCACCCAGTCACCCTTCAGTCCATCCAGAGTTTCACACAAGGATGCAAGCAGATAAAGTGTTCCCGGCACGTGGTTGTGGTGGTGGTGGTGGTGGGGGCCGGGGGGGGGGGGGCAGTGACAGGAGAGGAAGGGAAGATTGTCCCCAGCAGGTGTCCCAGGCCCTCACCTTTGCACTGGTAATCACTCCATAGGGTGAGAACTCTTTCCTCAGTTTCTCATCATTGATGGAATCATCCAAGTTCTTCACATACAGATTCACACCCTAGAAGGAAAGGATACTATACTGCTAATCATATTCCTCCCCTACAAGGCTCTGGACTATCTTATGGAGGGCAGGGGCTGATGCAGGCATGAGAGCCACTGGAAGCTCTGCAGTCAAGCCAGCTGTTCTGTGTCTCCCAACAGCATCCCAGGACCCCTTCACCTGGAAGCTGCTGCTCCCATAATCCCTAAACCCCCTGGCAGTTCTCAAATACCTGCGCCCACCCTAGCCTCATCACAAGCCTCTGCCCATTTCACAGATGAGACCCACACCCAAGAAGAAGCATGAAACCAAACCAGAACACAGCTCTTCAGACAGTCCACATGGAGCAGACTTCCTGCATACCTGGGCCAAGCTTTGGAGAGCTTGGACAGAGCAACAATTAAAGAGCCCAGGCTCTGGGCCCAAGGCTGAGCATGGGCCGCCGCTCTGCAGTCTGCCGGCTGAGTCACCTCAGGCAGGTTGCTTGTTACTCATCCTTGGTGCTGGGGACCCCTCTAACTCCTTGCCCACTTAATTTTTAATCCTCACATTTACTCCCTATTTTACAGATGAGAAAAGTGAAGTGCAAATAGGCTAAGTGAATCGTCCAAGGGTGGCAGAGACAAGGGTAGCCCAGGCTGTCTACCGTCAGCGTCGGTGCACGATCCTTCCATGCCACCCATGGCACAGAAATGTGTGAGTGCACAACACATACTTATTCTCAACTGGGACATCCCCCAGAGACGCTGAGAAGTAGACGGACTAACGGGCCACGTAGACTACAACCCTCTCTTGCCCACAACCACAGGAAGAGGGCGTCCGGCTACCGCCACTGGCCGCTCTGACCAAAGACACATCACAAGATCTCTGGTTAGAAAGGAAGCAAAATGTAAAATGAAACTCAAATTCATAAAAACTGGACTTACTGAACTGAGGAGGAGCTTTATGAATCGGGCTGCAAACCTCAAGGTCAGCAGTTCGAAACTACCAGCTGTTCAACTGGAGAAAGATGAGACTTTCTGTTCCCTTAAAGATTTACAGCCTCGGTAATCCTATACAGAGTTGCTATGGGTCAGAACCAAATCCATGGCACATAACCACGATGATAGAGTCCAGAGGGACCCCTGAGATGATCACCCTAAGACAACCCCCCTTTTAACCTCGGACTGAAGCCACTTTTCAGAGATCAACAGAAGAATGGCGGTGGTGGTGGTGGTGGCGGTGATGGTGGCGGTGGTGATGTGCCATGAGTCGGTTCTGACTCATAGCCACCCTGCACAGTCCAGAGGCTGTCAATGTTTACGGGAGCAGAAAGCCTCACCTTTCTCCCATGGAATGGCTGGTAGTTTCAAAGTGCTGTCCTTGAGGTTAGGAGCCCAACTCATAACCATTACGCTACCAGAGCTCCTTCAACAAAAGAATAGAGTAGCCTATAAACTAAGCAAAAAAAACACCCATGAAGAATGTGCACCTTAGAACAACCAGCTCTACCAGAACAAAGGGGCCGGGAAGCTGGAAGGATGGAAACAGGACGGCAGGGTGGAGATGGGGAGAATGCCAACACTCTGAGGGGTGGGGGTGGGATAACCACCAATGTCATGGACCAATCTGTGTATAAATTGTCAAATGGGAAACTAATTTGTGTTGTAAACTTGCATTGCAAAACAAAATAAAATGTTGGGGGAAAAAAATAACATATGTAGGGAGCCTTGACGGAGCCCTTCTGGTACAATGGTTAAAGTTAAGCACCAAAAGGTGCGTGATTCAAATCCATCAGCGGCTTCTCAGGAGACAAGACCTGGAGATCGCTCATAAAAATTATAGCCAAGGAAAGCCTCTGGGGCAGTTCAACTCTGCTCACATGGTACTTTTATGAGGGCACTTTGTTGTTGTTTTTGTGGCAATTGGCATTTAGTGAGTGTGGACTACAGATGCTAAACAGTCCCCCACAAAAATAATTCTAACTAAAAAGGCAACACCCCTGACCAATCAGTCCCCTGTGGCTGGGCGGCTGAGTTGTGTCCAGTTTCTCCACTGCAACAAATTAAGACACTGAAGAGCATTCTGGTGTTCATGTGATCTCTGTCCTGAGCCCATTTCCTCAGAAATGAGAGTGCTAGAGAAAGCAGTCACATTCATGGTAGTCAATAAACACATTAAACACACGCCTTCACATATACATGGTGGCCACCAGAGGGCCTGACCGTCACCTGGTAGCGGTTCAGCCGGTCCTGCTTCATCTGCTCAAATCTGCGCTTGAGTTCATTGTGCCGCTCCACCCGCTTCTGGGCCCGGCCAACATACAGTACTCGCCCGCTCATCTCCTTCCCATTCATGTCCGTCACAGCCTGCAGGGAGAAGGGAGAGGGTGCCAGGTAACCACCCTGGCTCTGGCTGAGACTAACTCTGATGCTAGGCTGGCCTTAAGCCACCACCAAGAGGGGCCCACCTATAAACAAACCAGCATGGTGGTTGTGTGAGCTGAGATTTAGTACCAGGAAAAGGGTCACTTGCAAGAATGAATTCACTTTTTAAAACAACATTGGACAAAATCATAGCGTGGATTTCCGATGAAAACATTTCATTGGGGCTTTATCGTGTAAAATGAAATTAAAATTTTAAAAATGCCCCATATTTAATATTTAGATTCCAACCACAATTCTTCTCCTGTATAGATTGTTGTTGTTGTTGTTAAGGACCATGGAGTCACTTCTGACGCATAGTGACCCTGCACAGGGTTTCTGAGGCTGTAAATCTTTACGGGAGCAGAACGCCTCATCTTTCTTCCACAGAACTGCTGGTAGTTTCGAACTGCTGACCTTGTGGTTCACGGCCCGATTCATACAGCCTTGGAAACCCTGTGAGGCGGTTCTACTCTGTCCTAAGGGTTTCTAGGACTCTGAATTACCTCCAAGAAACACACAGTAAAGGGTTTTAATTAGTGATTTTATAATCATTTGTCTCTTAACCCTTGTGAATTTTACTTTTCTTCAGTTAACTGGTCTAACTCTACCAGATTCTAACTTGTCAATGACTAGTGCTATAGAGAATCCTCCATCTTCTGCAAAACCTGCCACCTCTCTCTGTAAGCAATGTTCACGCAATGACTGAGTTTACACTGACTTGTCTGCCGAAATGGACAAAAGGCAGATCCATGGGTACGCCGATTCAGTGGTTAGGATTACACATTGGTGTAGTGAGAGGAGGGAGTTGAGCTTTCAAGTGGCTAGTACATTAGTAGAGTCCAGGTGTGGCGCTGTAGGATGAGCACTGGATGACTAAGTGCATGGTTAGCGGTTCAAACCCACCAGCTGCTCCTTAGAAACCCTACACAGAGTTGCTATGTGAGTCAGAACCAACTCTGAGCTTCAGAGGATAGGGCAGAGAGGTGGACTGAGTGCTAACTGGAAGAGGAAGTTGAATAGGCACAGTGAGAGAAAAGAAAAGCAAACAGACTGTGTGCTGGCCTAGCGTAGTGTTGATATCTTGAGCTTTGTTGGGTACTCATGGACACAGCGGCCTGGAGGCATGGGACAGAGAAGGCGCCTGGCAGCAAAGGAGGTGCAGTTCTGTTTCCCAAATCCTCCTCGTAACCAGAAGAGTGGTCAGTTCTTGTCCTCATCAACCCAAGGTCAGTGGCACCCCCTCCCACACAGTCTCTACTCTGCCCGGGGTCAGGTGCCAGACATGCTACTCCTGGAGGTGTGTGAACCCGCCCTGAACTAAGGTACAGAAACAGCTATGCAGCAGGGAACAGGAGAACTATATTCATTCACACTTCCAGTCTCTTATTACATCCACCAAGAGACAACTGGTGAGGGCCTGAGAACACATCAGCATAAAATCATCAATTAAATATAAATACAACTGACACCACAATGTCAGAGAAAGCAATTTCAGCCTACGTGAAGAGATAAGAGTGTCTCAAAGCAGTGACCAAAATGCAGAGTCAGAAAATATAAAACTAGAAATGCCATCAGAACTCCTTGAAAGGGGATTTAAAAGAATATTTCGGTGCCTTCAAAGCGTGAGAAAATGGTTGAAAAAGCTGCAGATGAAATCAAGGAAAACACATATAAACTTTAGAATTCAGGAAAACAAGCTAAGAAAAACTGAAAGAATAAATGACAAACTAGAAACCCTACAAAACCGGCAATTAGAAAGCCTGATACTAAGACTTTAGAAACAGATGATACACTGAAAGAGTAAAGGAGTAGAATTTCATCAATGGAAAGATGAATTACTGAGGTTGAAGACAAATCTCTCAGTTGAATATGTGGTTAGCGTTCTGGTGTGGACCAATAAATAACATCATGATAAACTAAGATTCAAGTTGTCAGAGACTTCACTTTGCTTGGATTCACAATCAACATTCATGGAAGCAGCAATCAAGGAATCAAACAACATATTGCCTTAAGCAAATCTGCTGCATGAGACCTACCTCTTTAATGTTTAAGAACAAGGATATCACTTTGAGGGTTAAGATGAGCCTTACCCCAAGCCATGGTATTTTCAATCACTTCATACGCATGTAGAAGTTGGACAATGAATAAGGAAGACCACACAAGAAAGGAGGCATTTAGATTATGGTGTAAGAGAAGAACACCGAAAGTACCATGGACTGCCAGAAGAACAATAAATCTGTCTTGGAAGCCAGAAAGCTCCTTAACAACAAGAATGGCAAGATATTCTCTCTTGTTCTTTGAGCACTTTTTAGGCAGGGTCAGTCCCTGGAGAAGGACACCGCGTTGGGTAAAGTGGAAGGCCAGCATAAAAGAGGAAGATCCTCAATGAGATGGATGACACAGGGACAATGAGCTCCGACAAAACAATGTGAGAGTGGTGTAGTGCTCCCTTCTGTTGTGTGGAAGGTCACTATGAGCTGCTACCAAGTGAACAGCACCGAACTATAGCAAACCTACATGTAGCTCACATTTCTATTAAACCAAAAACAGCACCTGCAAAGTCCTGGAAGCAAGAAGTAACCTGGCACTTACCCTTCTTACCTCCAGTCCCACCTCAAGTAAAGGACTGATGGCACCTCAAAGGCCCTTCTTTGGGGTAAGGTGGAGGCTAACACCTGCTGGCTTGGCATCGCAGCAGGAGGGGCCCTGCCTGAGGAGGGACTTTATTCACTTGCATGAGCAGCTGCAGAGCTTTGCTCCTGCTCTCCACTATTCCTGGTCCTAGTTTGGTGCCTCCACCCTGGTACAAGGCCATGGGGATGCTCCTACCTTCTGGGCTTCCTCATGCTTCTCAAAGTTGACAAAGCCAAAGCCTCGAGAGTGGCCAGCGTCATCCCTCATCACCTTCACGCTCAGCATCTTTCCTGAGAAGGACCAAGCAAGCGCAAAGGGGAGTTCAGGAAGGAAGGTCCAGGAGGTCTCACTCCCTTCCCCCCTTTTCCATGAAGTCTTCAGGAAGCCCTCCTCCCAGCGGGGGTGGAAGAAACGGTAATGCTATCCCCCTCTCTCTGGGTCTCAGGGAACACGCTCACCAAACTGGGAGAAGAGGTCTTGCAGGCCCTGTTCATCCACGTCCCCTTGAAGGTTCTTCACGTAGACATTGGTGAACTCCATGGCCCGAGTCCTCTGCTCCGCCTCCCGTTCTCGGCGAGACTTGAAGTGACCAACGAAGCTGTGGACAGGTCAACAGGGTAGGAAGCTGTCAGCCAACAGCCAATATGCCACCCCACCCCCATGCCAGCCCCAGCCACCTTGGACCCTTTCTCCAGACCTCATACCCCTGGTTAGAAAACTAGCTGGGTGATCTCCTCGGAGGGAGCACGTGCAAGGTCCAAGCCTCCAACAGCCAGAAATCTATGTGGCAGAGCCTGTCCCCAGTCTAAGGCTCATTCTTGTGACAAATGCACACAGAATTCCCACCGTACACTTACGAGTCAGGCAGACAAACTGTAAAGCCTGGCTCTGCAGTTGTGTAGCTGTGCAGCCCTGGGTAAAGTCACTCAACCTCTCTGAGCCTCAGTTTTTATTCCTGCAAAATTGGGCCTCAAACATTCCAAGGATTTGCTTATTCATTTAATGTGTACTGGGCACACTGGGGTAGCTAGTGGGAGAAAACCAACACAGGGTCCATATACCAGTGTTACTATGAGGGTGCGGGTGGAGGGATCTGGAAAGCTCTGAAATACAACTTTAATTTTGAAAACTACCATTTCGACATTCCCATGAACACATCTGGAGTCCTGGTGTGGCCTGTGGGTTAATGTGCTGGACTGTCAGTTTGAAATGCAAGGTCAGTGATTCAGGCTCACCAGTCGCTCCTCGGAAATCCCATATACAGTGGCTATGAGTCAGAATCGACTCAACAGCAATTAACAATAATAAACACATCCACGATACTATCGTGGATTGAGAAGAAAATGGAATGCAAGAGATTTTCAGGATATCTACAGCGCATCTCTGCTGGAGAATGAGGCAGCTTTCTGCTCCCATAAAGACTTATAGCCTCAGAAACCCTACACAGGGTCACTATGAATGGATATGAACTTGATGGCAGTTAAGTTTGGGTTTTGCAGTTTATAGCATCCTTAGTACAAACCTGTAGTAGCCCCTAAAAACTGATGGAGACTAAGACAAAGGTAAAGGAACCTGGGGCACTGTGGGTTCAAACTCACCAGCTGTTCTGCTTAAGAAATAGAGGCGGTCTGTTCCCCTACAGGTATTTAGTCTCAGAAATCCTATACAGGATCACCATGAGTCAGAATCGACTTGATGACAGTGGGTTTGGTTTGGAGGCAAAGGTAATATTGAGCAAATTCTAGTTCACAAAGCCTTAGGAAAAGCTGACTGGGGTGCAGTTTAGTGGACAGGAGTCTTCCGGAGGACCCCTGGACAAAACAACCCTCAGAGCCTCTCCCACTCAAAGCCTCTCTCACACCTACTGCACTGAGCATGGGGCTGGGCTATCACATGGGCAGAATTCTAAGTGAGGGAGGCTTGTGCAATATATTTCACCATAGTAAAAAAAAAA